TTTTTGGTCTCCTGGAGGTCCTCTGGGAGTCCTCTTGAGGCGTCTTGGGGGCCTTCTGGGCCGTCTTGGGACCGTCTTGGCCCTCTGCCGTCTTGGAGGCTATCTTGGGCCGCCTTTGCCGTCCTCGAGGCCTCTAGGAGGCCATCTAGGGCGATTTGCGCCGTCTTGGAGGCGATGCAACGAGAGATGTTTTTTTGTTGTGTGTGCGTTGTTTTGTTTTGCCGATTTCCGGGTGGCCGGCGCGAGTGGCCCAGACTCCACTGGGAACTTTTACGGAAGACCAAAGCAGCCTGACGTGTGGCACGCCGTGCGCCCTTGCGGTAAGATCACAGTTCGGCGGCGAGCGAGGGGGGGAAGTGAGAAAGAGAAGGCCTTCTCAGAGGGCGGCGGGGCTTCTCAGGAGGCCTCAGGCCTTCTGAGAATTCTTTTGTGGTCTTCGGGGAAGGCATCAGAAACTTGTCAAAAGGCGGGGGGACTTCGAGCCTTCTGAGAAGGCCCGCCCCTTCTCACTTCCCCCCCTCGCTCGCCGCCAAACAGTGGGCGGCGGATCGAAGACGGTTACGGCGACTCACCGCCGACCCCTGCTTTTGGAAACTCCCATGCGGCCAATCGTCGGGCCCAAGCCTGGCCAAGCTATCGGACTTTTTGCCCCCCAGCCTTCGTGGAACCCCTTGCAAGAACGCAGTGAGAGAGGAAGAGGAAAGAGGAGGAGAGGGAGAAGAAGGAGGAGGAGGAGGAGGAGGAGGAGGAGGAGGAAAGGAAGCATAATTTTATGACAATAATGATGAAGCAACTATTATTCGTATTAATATGATGATTATTGTTATGGTTATCATTAATTCATGTCAATATAACTAGTTTTTAATGATTATTATCATTATCATTCGTATTAGTATGATTACTAATAACATCGTTAATAGTAGTATTACTACTAATGATAGCAATCATCATACTACAACAAGGATAAGGTGGGCCCCTCCCCCCTCCCCCTCCCTCCTACAAGTGCAACCGTGGTTGACTCACGAGACCCTGTCAGAGGCGCAACCCGCGCACTTCCGGCTCGTAGACGATACGAGGTACACGCCCACTGCTGCCCCGACGGCTCTTCCGGGACGGGCCCCGTCCTGCGCAGTCTCTGGCAGACTCTGCGGCTGGGCGCCTGACAGATGAACATATGCCGTTGTAGACCATGCCTTGCTCGCGTCCCCTGCGATGTGTCGACACGGTGCCGTCAGGCTGCGGTTCGACCTGCGGCGGCGGCACCTCTCGCTACATATACGCCATCGTTGGGGAGCGCCAGGGCGACTTCCACATGGTGCCCACATACCAGGACAGGGGCACCGTAATCAGATGGAATGGGGCAGGGAGCGGATAGGATGGGGAGGGAAGGAGAGGGGGGATGATAGAGGCGAGGCGGGCGCACGAACGTACGGGCGGATGGTCCGATACACTGCTGGTTGGATGGGTGGATCGACGAACCGAAGCGGAGATGGAGGGAGGTAGGCAAGGAAGGGGAGGAGGGAGCGGGATGAATGCGGGAGGCGGCCGCGGAGGCGGATGCGGAACAGCATGGGGTTATGTTTGTACCAGTAGTGCAAGCAGACCAGGAGGGACGGTGACACGATATGGAAGGACAGGAAGAGGAGGAGGAGGAGGAGAAAGATGAGGAGGAAGAAGAGGAGGAGGAGGAGGAGGAGGTGGAGGAGGAGGAGGAGGAGGGCGAGGAGGAGGAGGAGGGCGGATGATCGTGGGTTGGGCGATGGTGGGGTTGTTGATGGTGGTGGTGGTCGACTGGGGCCGCCCGGCAATTGGGGTTCGTGCTTGAGGACAGAAGATTGTCGAATCGGCGATTCGCTGACGGCGTTTTGCTGGTGAGCTCTTCGTTGGCGGGCTTGACGGTGATGCTCGGCGACACAGCTTCGGCCAGCCGCGAATGCGGACTAGAGCTGCGTCCGGGAAAACAGAAGTATTGCCAAACGCTGGCTCGCGGCGAGGCGGGGCTGGCCAGCAGCTCATCTCTGCTCGCGGCATGGATTTGAGCTCTTGAGGCGAGCAGATAGCGCCAAATATCGGGGCAGGAAGATATCGTGTCCGAGATGCGCACAGGGTGGACCTAGAGGCCCGGATTCAGAGCGCACGGAGGAGAAATTCCACGTGTTCGAAGCAGAGCTGACGACCAAGACGTGTTCCCGTGCTCACTGTCGTCGAGGGTCCGCTCGCTCGATTCTGTGATTACGCCCCGCGTGCTCTGCGGGGCCTCCGCGTGGACCCTGACATTTTGAGTGGAGGGAGCGATGCTGAAGGCCCAGCGCCATGTGCTAAGGTCGGTGATTGAAGCCGGCCGCAGACGCGTGCTGGTCGATCCTTCCGGAGGTTCGCAGAGTCCGGACGCGGACGAAGCCGGTCAGTCTGAACAGCACGAAGAGGAATTCGGTACCCTCAAGGCTATGGCCTGAGTTCATGCAGCGCACGGCCAGAGAGATGGAGCAGCGCTCAGATTGTTTGAGTATTTCAGATGGGATCGTGGAGGACAAACGGAAGAAATTCCGATCGGCAGGGAGACTGCTCAATACCGACTACCAGAAATGGTCCCGTGCAGTCTTCGATTGGGGCCCCGGGAAGCACTGCCAGGTACGTGATCACGCAGGCCAGCCGGCGCGGAGGTGGAACGATTGTTTCGCCAGCTTCAGCGAGTCAGAGATCGGGGCTGGAGTCAGCTCTGTTACTGCCGCTGCAGGTTCTGATGGTTGCCACCACGTGGAGGCGCATTGCACGAAGTTCCACCCATTGCTGCCTGACTGTTGTCACCACGTGGAGGCGCTTTCACCACTTGCTGAAGCGTACCGATTGGCCTCGCATCCTATTTTCTTGCCCCCGTGCGCAGGGCAACCTGCTCCGCGGGGGCGTGCCGCTCTCCCCCTTCACTGGGGCCAGCCCCGGCTGCGCAGAGCGCTGCTCGTGTGCGCTCGGTGGTGGTGCTGATCGGGGGCCCCCAAGCGGTGCGGTGACCACACCGTGCGGTGAGTCGGTGGGGATTCGGGGTCACCGCACGGTTTTGGGACTCGGGTCCCTCTCCGAGGATGTCTCGGGCGACAGGGGCCTCCAGGGTCCCAAGACCGTGCGGTCACGGACCCTGTGGTGAGGCCTCTTGGGGTTCCGAGGTCAAAGATGATGATGACGAGGACGAGGAACAGGAGGGCGATGATAATTACGAGGGCGAGAGTGCAAGAGGGATTGCAGGATATGGGGAGGGTGGGTGAGGATGAGGGAGGAGAGAGGGGTAAAGACGGGTTGAATCAGTGGGGTGAATGAGGTCATGAAGGATGGTGGGCGAAGGGGGGGAGAGGGAGTGATGGTAATTGAATTCGATGGAGGATACATCGAGGTAGGAGAAGCGGTGGGAGGGGGGAGGAGGCAGGTGATGGGAGGACAATGACGGAGAAGGGGGGGGACACGGAGGAGAGAGATGGGGGTGTGATGCTGTCACTGGTTCTCTGGTCCTCAGCGTCCGCGGCGCTTGTGCTTCCATGGTAGTGCGGGACGGCAGGGAGCCAGCAAACGAGCAAGAGAAGGGTTGGGGGCAGGGGGTGCCGGCAAAGCGGGGGAACCGTGTGGATGTGTGTGTGTGTGTGTGCGTAACGGCTGGCCTGCCTTCCTCCTCCGCCCGCCTTGTCCTTTCGTCGTTGCCGTCTGGTTGCGTGGCGCCTCCACTTGCACCCCGTGCCGCCCCGGCTTCTTCCCACCGTCGCTGCCCATGCCCAGGCATGGCCAGCATGGCGTGGTTGATCCGTTTTGGATTTTCGCTCGAGGCCGCGCGCGAGGCTTCGATCGCCAACGGTGCACATCTGCCTGGGGAAGGAAATCGGGGCCCAGAAGCCACGGCCTCGGACCCCCAATCGGGCCCCCCCCCCCTGGTGCCCGTTCCCTTGCCGCTCAAGACAGCCTTCGGGGCGCTCCAACAACGACCACGATGGTGTCCAGACTGCCCGGAAGGTTGCCAACAGCACCCGTCAAGATACCCTCCTGGCCGCTCCAGGGGTTTTCAGGATGCCGCGGTCCAGCTTCGAGAGGCCCTCTAAGAGGGCCACAGAAAACCCAAATCGTCCTGCTCCCTGCCACGATTTTGAATTTCGCAGCGTCCAAGACGGCCCCATTGCTCCCTTAGGATCGCCCCAAGACGGCCACGTAGGCCCCGCCGGCTGCGGGGCCCGAAGCGGTCTCAGAATGCTCCGGCCGGGTGTATTTCGACGCGCGCTTCGGTGCCTGTTCCTGACATTCTACGCCCCGTCGCCGCGCGCGGAGCCGCGACACCAAAAAGTGTGAGTGTGTGTGTGTGTGTCTGTGTTTTGGGGGGTGGGGGAGGGGCGGGGAGGATGCAAGGTAGATCGGCGTGGGAAGGGAAGGGGAGGGAAGGGGGTTCAATTCGGACACAGCAGCAGTGGGCACTCGGGCACTCCGCGCCGAGGTCACGCATAATCCGTACTCATTTCATCTGCTGGTTCCCCAGTCTCTGACTCATTCTCGTTCTTTCTGTGTGGTCCTGGTCATGGTTTCTTCCGCCTCCCTCCTCCCTGTCCTGCTCTGTCTCATGGCGTGCTCTCGCCGTAAACGTGGTTCCTGCCCTTCGCTTCCTCTCCCTCCTGCACCCGTCTCGTGGCGCGCGCCTGCTGCGGAGGCCCCCCAAGGAGTTCACAGAAAGAGGTTCTCTGGAAGTGCGCGGTGCTTTGGTGATTTCGTGGGCCGTTTTGTGTTTTGATTTCGTTTTGCACCAGAAGCGGGATGAAGACAGGGCGAGGGACAACAGAGTAAAGCGACAAGACGGAAAAGGAAGGCGCCGCTTATGCCGAGCACCGGAGAGGCTTCCCAAGAGCCGCGCCCCTGCAGGGAGCAGGGGAGGTGGGAGAGGCCCCAATTGGAAAGGAGGGGAAGGACCTCACCCCGCCCCCAGGGATCTGAAAGGGGCTTACCCGTTTGCTCTTCTGCGTGCCCCCTCCCGCGAGTACGTCGGCGCCGGCGCCGGCAACGTCGCGCTCGTGCCGATCCCGGGCCCTGGCTGCAGCAGCTGCTGGTGGCTGCTGTGCCTGCTCTGGCTCTTCATAATACCGTTCTGTCTGCCGTCGACCACGACCACGACCAGCACAACTGCCGCGGCCTCAGCGCGCCCCGCCCCAAGAAGTCGGGGGAAAGCCATGACCACCGACACCAGGATGAACCAGACGTAAGAGTGACCTTTCGCCGGAGTGACCTTTGGTGCGGGCTCCTCGGGCTCCCCCCGATCGCCGAGCGCGACGCGATGTAAGCGGCCCGCGCCCTCGGGTTTGGCTCCCTCGCGCCCCCAAAAGCTGCGCACCAAAGGTCACTCTTACCCAGGGTCACTCTTGCGCCTAGCCGACAGGAGAAGGGGGCCGACCCCATGGCTCCCAGCCCACCTGACCACCCCAGGCCACCCCGAAGGCCCCGATCCGCCCTCCGTTTCCAGTGGGAGGGGGGGTCGGGGAACATGGACAAAACACACATAGGAAGTCCGCCTCCTCCCCCAAGCCGAGATTCGGGTCTTCGGGTTGGGTTTGGGTGGTCTGGTAGGCTTAAGTCGGGCCTGTCCCTCTACAGGGGGAATCTTGAAAAATAGTAAAAAAATAGTCTGGGGACTATTTTTTGAGTTTTTTTTGGCCATTTTGGAATATTATTTTAGGGTATGTTTGATTTTTCGTCGAAAATCCCCCTGTAGGGGGGACACGCCCGACTCAAGTCTTCGGGTTGGGTTTGGGTGGCCCGGTAGGCAGTCAATGGCGGTGGCACGCCCAAGCGCCACCCGGCACATGAGACGACGCCGAGACGTGCCCCCGCCCAGGGGTCGGTCCCGCACCGATGGGATCTCGGTGGCGATGGTCCATGCTGCTCCCCTGAGAGGCTCCATGCTGTGGAGGGAGGCTTCCAAAGTGGTCGGTTCAGGCAGCGCCTCACATTTTCGACTTCGTCCTCGTCCCCCGGCTTCCTTTCCCTCGTTTTCTTTCCGTTGTCCTTCTCCTCCGCGAGTAGTGCAGTGCCGATCGATCGAATGTGCCAGGGTGAGGCATCGCCGCCTCTTGCCCTCTTGCAAATGCCCACGTGATCAGACGACGGGCCAGAGTTTGGCCACACCTCTGGACTATGTGTTCCCCCTGCCACTGCGGAATCAATGTGGGCCAATCATCCGCTTTCTCTTGGCTTCGGGGGCTTCTTTGCGGCCTGGGGGGGCCCTCCAAGGCCATCTTGCGCTTCTGTGAGGGGTCTTGGCGGCCTCGGGGGAATCTTGGGTGTGCCTGGGAGAATCTTGGACCATCTTGCACGTTTTGGGTCCGTCATGGGCCTTCTTTGACAAGCTCGGATATGGGGGGGCCTCCTCTACTGGGCCTCTTGGGCCCATCGTGAGCTCTTAGCGAGCCCTCTGTGGCGGCAGCGCACCAGGGGCACATTCCATAGCGACAGAATCTGCTACCCATTTGTTTCCTTGTTGTTGTTGGGTCCTTGTTATGAATCCGCATCGCCTCGCTCAACTTTCTCCTCTCGCCCCCCCTCTCTCCTCTTCCTCTGCTCTCCCCATGCTATGATTCGTGCCCCAGGGGGGGTTCACCTACGACCTCAGTGGGCGCCATCATGCCGCACCCCTCCCGTATCGGCGGTCTCCTTGTAACGCTTCGTGACCCCAAACGAAGTTCCACCTGCGGCCCCAGTGTGCGTTCCTTTCTGCTGCTCCCCGCCAACATCGGCAGACCCCTCACAGGTTTGAGCCCTCATGGTCAGTGATGATGATGATGATGGTGGTGGTGGTGGTGGTGATGATGATGGTGGTGGTGGTGGTGGCGATGATGATGATGATGATGAAGCTCCACCTGTGGCCCCAGTGGAGGTGCCCTTCTGCCACGCCCCGTCGTTTCGGCACACCCCTCGCGCGGATCGTGCCCCCATGGGGAGCGGCTCCAGCGGGTGCGCACTCGTGCCGCGCCCCGCCCCTTTCGGCGCACCCCTCGAGTGTCTCGTCTTGTGTCGCACCCCGCCCATGTCGGCGCTCTCCTCGAACGTTTCGTGCCCCCCGTAGGGACTTCCTCCGGGACTTCGCCTCCGGCTCCTGTCCAAGGCGTACCTTTTCTTGTGCAAGCTCTTCGGCACCGCCTGCACCCCGCGCCCTCCGGCCGCCTGAGGCCCCGCCCGCCCGCGCCCTGTCTCCCCAATTAGTGCTTTGCGCGCCCCGCCTAGCTCTTAACCGGAAGAGGCTCGCTCTCGACCGGCAGACCAAAAAAGTCCCCCGTAGGGATCTCTCCCGAGGTCCTGGTGGGCGCGTCCGCGCGCCGCCTGCCGCACTGAGCAGGGGGTTCAACCTGCTGCCCCCGCTGGCGCCCTCTCGTGCCGCCCCCCGCCGAGGTCGGCGCAGCTCTCGCACGTTCTGCGCCGCCCACGCGTGTCGTGTCGAGTCGAAGACGTACCTCGCCGATGTGTATGTAAGGTAGTACTAATTCATGCATCAACTTCCGTAGACAAGAGCGGGAGTATGCATTTGTTTTCCATGGGTATGGGAAGGCTGGAGCGCGAGAGGAAGCGGGCGCCGACCTGTACAAAGATGAGGCTCTGGCGTGCCTCGGAACGCTCAGCCTCGGAGTAGCTCTCTGGGTCCTGCTCCCCGTAAGGGGATCACGGGGAGTCCGTCGGGCTCGTTCATCGAATTGGGAACAATCGATCTTCCGCTTTTCGGCTGACGTGAAAATCGTTTTTTGCAGCAGGGCCCATTTCTGCTTGATATAGATGTCCAGCTTCACCTGCAAAGCTGAGGTCGTAGGCTTTGTGAGTTCGTCCGCGACCTTTCGCCTCTGAGTGGACCAACCATAGCCTCCTTTTTGCATCGCTCATGCTTTGTCGAAGGGTTAGTGTTTCAATATCTGATCTCTGTTTTGTGCACCCGCATCATGACGAGCTCGCTCGCACAACGCTGTCGTACATTTTTTGCAGTCGGTCACGAGGGCATTGGTGCTCGCTTTGAAGCAGTCGTTGATCGCTTGATGTGGTACAGATCGTCTGTGGCACATCTCGTACCAGGTTCGTCTCGAATATAGCTGAGCGCCTGGGTCCCCATTTGGATGTCTGCGCTCAGCGAGCTCCTGGCCAGTCCAGACAACTTCCGAGACGCTGCTTGAGTATCTGAGGCGGTTGTTCTCTGTCTTTGCAAACTTTTGCCCTCTGCCATTGCCACGGACATGTTTCTCGCCCTTCAGGCTGTGTCGTGCCAGCTTGCTGACACCAGCTAAGACTTCGCTTTCAACGCAGGGCGTGTTTGAGGTGGAAAACACTTGAAGTAGGTTAAAAGTAGCTCCCGAAGTAGGTTGGCAAAGTAGGTCCGCAATGCGCGCGGCAACAGGGGTCGGCGCGGGTAACTCCGAGGGATAGGATTGCGATCCCGACTGCCGCAAGTAGCCTTCAGGGGAAAGGATTGCGAACATAATTTTCAGAAGTAGCTGTCGAAGGAAAGTTGTCGGGACCACATTATCATACCTAACTTCTGGGCAAAGGGCCATTAACCGCATTTTCCAAAGAAGCTCCCTGGGGAAACGTTGAAATGCCGCCGGGGAAAGCTCATGATCGTCTTTTTGCTCCCCCTTATCATCGTCATGCTCGCCCCGCCCCTGGTCACTCTAACCCCAGCCCCTCGTCATAATCCTCATCATGCTTCGCATCGTCGTCTGGCATTGCCTCCTCATTCTCTTCCTCATAAACCGCATCATCAATGTCCTCAACCTCGTCCTCCTCCACGACCCCCCCGGTCATCATCTCCCTCCTGCTCGTCCTCCTCATTCTGTCCCTTCCCGTGCTAATACCCTCTCGCCCTCCTCCTTCGCATCATCCTAGGCTCATCCTCCTCATCCTCCCGATCCTCCAGATCCTCGTCCTCCTCCTCACACCACTCCTGGTCCTCCTCATCCTCGTCCTGGTCCTCCCGCTCCCCCTCCCGATCCTCCTCCTCGTCCTCCTCCCCCACCTCCTCTTCCTCCTCCTCTTCCTCCTCCTTCTCGCCCTCATCATCATCCCCCCCTCCTTCTCCTCCTCCTCGCCCTCCCTCGTCCTCGTCTCCTCCTCCTCCTCCTCCTCCTCCTCCTCCTCCTCCTCCTCCTCCCCCTCGTCCTCCTCCTCCTCCTCCTCCTCCTCCTCCTCCTCCTCCTCCTCCTACCTCCAGTCCCTCATCCTCCGTACGTCCAAAAGAAGGTTTGGAGTAGGTTTGAAGTAGGTTTGAAGTAGGCTTGAAGTAAGTTCGAAGTAAGTTCGAAGTAGGTTTTGAGGAGGTGTGAAGTAGGTGTGAAGTAGGTTTGAAGTAGGTTTGAAATAGGTTCGAAGTATGTTTGAAGGAGGTTTGGGCTTCCCGAAACCTACTCTCGGCGCCCCCAAACCTATTTTTGGGGCTCCCGAAAACTACTTAGGTGCACCCAAAACCTACTTTTGAATTCCACAAACCTTCTTTGGGACCTACTTTGCAAAACAAAATTCTGGAAACCTATTCTGCGTCCTACTTTGGGGCCGCGGTTCCTTGATACATCAGCACACTTTTGCCGGAGCTTTTCCCAGAAGTCGCCCCCAGGGGGTCGGAGCCCCAAACGCTTGTGCGAAGTACCCCCCCAAAGGGGTGCAACCGAAAGCACTTCTAGGTTGCCCCCACGAGGCGGGAATCCCCCAGGGGTGGTCTTCTTCCCAGCAGGTGGACCCCTCGGCCGCCGAAGCTGCAAACGGAACCCCTGCTACTGGGCGCGGCGCTACCCTGCGCTGCCCGAGAGTGAACCCCCGCTAGTGGGCCCGGACGCCAAGGGGGGAGGGGGGGCGGGAAGAAGGGCCGCAGGGAGAGGTGGAAGAGCGGGAGTTGGCGGTCGGAGGGCTTGGAGCAGAGGGGGGATGCGGGAGGGGTGGCGGGGGAGGGGGAGGAGGAGAACGGGGGAAGGAACGCGCTTGGGGGACCGCGACGGCAAGAGGGGAGGAGGGGGGCGGAGGATGAGCAGGGGTGGCGGGAAACCGTTGCGGAGTTCGGCGGGTGGTCGGTGGATGAGAGGAGCAGGAGGAGCGGAGGGTTTTCTTGTGTTGCTTTCAGTTGGGGCAGCCTTTGCCTCGCAAGCCACGGCGGCCAGAGATCCCAGCGCTCGTCGTCGCCAGGGGTAGTCCTGGCGGCGTATGTAAGCTTCCTTGCTGACGTGGTAGCCGGGCCAGGGCGTGCCCGAATATCGTCGGGACATACTCTGACGTCTTTTCGGTTCGAGGGCTTGTGTGCTGGTGGCGGTCTGGCTTGTCCAGGACGCCTTGAAGAATGTTGCTCGCCGTCGCAGTTGCTGGAAATGCTCTGGCCGAGTTTCTGGGTTATTCATTGCCGTGGTTGTGTTTTCTGGCGGTTCTGTTTTGCGGGGGTCGTCACCGCAGCCGCTCTCGTTCAGCCGACGGCCTACGTTTCGTGCTCGTGGGTGCATCGCGCGAGATCTGTCGCGGACCCTGCCTGCAATGTAGCCTTGGCGATTTTTCCCTGGCTTGTTATTGGGCAGGGTTACCGCGGCCAGAACACATCCCCAAGTGCACTTGCCAAACCTACTCTGCCCGATGCGTTTTGCCAAGTTAGTTGGCCGCACCATTTTCGCCGATGCGTTTTGGCAAACCCAGTTGTGGGCTGCTATATATCCAATGGCGTTTTTCGGTGCGCTTGGAACCTTCTTCCCGGAACCTAATCTGCTTGCGAACCTATCTCCCGAACCTACTTTTGAACCTGCTCCAAGCCTATCTCGAAATGGTTGCTAATGCCCTGCGTTGCCGACGAAGTCTCGGGACACCAGGCTATCCAGGGTGAAAGCGATTGCTATCCATGTTGTCTCGTGGGCGAGACGGTCTATGATGTGTGTTGATAGTAGCTATTGTACCTGTGGTGTGTGTGTGTGTGTGTGTGCGCGTGTGCGCGCGCGCGTGTGTGTGTATGTGTGTGTGTGTGTGTGTGTGTGTGTGTGTGTGTGCGGGTGTGTGCGTGTGTGTGTGTGTGTGTGTGTGTGTGTGTGTCGTGTGTGTGTGTGTGTGTGTGTGTGTGTGTGTGTGTGTGTGTGTGTGCGTGCGTGCGTGCGTGCGTGCGTGCGTGCGTGCGTGCGTTTGTGCGTGCGTGCGTGCGTACGTACGTGCGTGTGTGTGTGTGTGTGTGTGTGTGTGTGTGTGTGTGTGTGTGTGTGTGTGTGTGTGTGTGTGTGTGTGTGTGTGTGTGTGTGTGTGTGTGTGTGTGTGCGTGTACCTTCTTCCCTGCGCGCCACTGCATGTCCTTGCTGGAGCCTTTTCGCGTCGCTGCGACATTGACGCTCGCCGCTCTCTCCACTTAACCCCTACGCCGCGCCGGTTACCGCCGGCGGTGTGGGCTTTTCTTCGCGGCCTTCAGCTGCTCGTGGCCTGTCTCACAGAGCTGTTGGCGGGCCTTGCTGTATTCGCTTCTCGTCGCCTTAGGCGGTGAGGAACTCATGGTTGCCCAGGTGGCCTGTGCCCGGAGGTTGTCTTCCTGGTAGTCGGCTGTTTGCCCTGCCTACACCACCCGTGTTCTGGTCCTACCTGTTGGATTCTTGTGTTCCGCTCGCGTGCTGTGGGCTGTGGCGCCCTTTTTTCCGCCGGTCTATTGGACCTGGCGCCGGCCTTCCCGCCCAGTTGCCTGCGCCCCGGCACTGGGTGTGGGCCGGCTTGGCCGCGGCCCACTTCTCTTGTTGGCGTGCTCCCCAGGCTTCGTCCTGGGGTAGCTCGCCTCGGTATATTGCTGCACCGTCCTGCCCTCTTTTGGCCAGTTTCCGTATCCCCTTACCGCCTCGGGCGTGAGGGCTTTTGGCTGCCTGGCTGTTTGTCTCTCCGGGGTTCCTCGGGGGCTCGGCTGGGCGGTGTATTCCACCACGCGTGCTGGCTGGGGCACTGGCGTTCTTGCGCCCCCGGTGGTGCGCGTGGCAATTTCCATGGGTATCGCTCGTGGTCGGCGCCTTCTTTTCGTCTGGCAGCTTGTGTGGCGGCGGCCTTTCCGCCTTGCTGCTTGCGCCGTGGCATTGGGTGCGGGCTGGCATGGCCGCGGCCTGTTTGGTTTTTGCTTTCTGCATCGCACCTGGGGTGCGCGTCCGCTCTTGGGGCTGCAGTTCGCACCTCCTGCTGGCTTTCGCTGTATGTCAGCTTGATTGCTGGCGTTTATGCGTTGGCGTAGCCCGCTGGCGGGTTCGCTGTGCTCGTCCTGTCCTCACTTTGCCGCTCTTGGTCGGTGTGGTGCGATCTTCGTGGTGACGCGTACACTTTCTATTGAGCCTAGGTTGTTGTTCATCATTCCGTTTTGATTTCGCCTACTTTCTTGGTGGCTCTTCGCGGCTTTGGTTGCGTTGGAGTTGCTGTTTTCACGCTGGCGCCTGCACTGCACGCTGGCCATGCTCGCGCCTGTCCACCACCCATGGCCATGCTCGCGCTTGTCCGCCACCTATGTGCGCCGC